TGTTTGAAGATTAATTTTGGTATTATCAATACATATATCATAATATTAAAATAGTTAAATCTATTTGTTAAAGTGAGGAATTATTTAATGATTACATATTCTGACTGACACTGAATAATAAGCAGTAAAAGTAACAATAAAATATAATTAATCGGTATAATCAATCTAGAACTTGATGTAAACTGGTTCAATCACACATAACACTTGCATGTAGCAAGCCTTTATTTTGTATCAAAGTAGACCATGTCCGTTCTTATTATAATATTGTTATATTCATATTATACACATGACATTGACCACTTTGTATCCATAATTAATTACATGGATGAACATCATTRATGTTTCGTTGCTTTTATTAGAAGCATTTCATAACTTACCCATTAAAGTATAAAAAGTGTGATTCTTAGGTAAACACTTATTTTCTCAAATAATATGATGAATTATTTATTTTTATAAACGCAAGTTTTTGTTTAGTTATATAAGATTTTATTTTATTTTGAGAATTGTTGTATTATTAATTACAACAATATTATGTTCTTGAGTGTGAATAATTTAATTAACAAATAAAAAGTATAGAATTAAAAACAAATAAAATTCTACTACTGTCGACAAACTCAAACACACAACAAAATGAAATGTACATCACAACTTATTATAAAATGAGATAAGGTAACCAAGAAAACATAAAAACTATTCACCTACCCCCAAGAAAAAAAATGTCAACAAAAATTAACAACATAGTTGTTAATATTAATAGAATTACTAACTTCGTATATTGAGTGTAAATATGTTATATGATAACCTTGTATGGGCGTAACAAGGGGCTATAGCCATTATTGTTTAGTTATTGGGCTTCAAAAAGAAAATTCAGTTTTAAAATTACTGTTTTGGCCAAGCATACAATGGTGGCAACGCTGAACTATAACTGTAGTCGTATAGCTGAGCTTTGATGAATTCAATTTTGTCTTCTGGTTCTGGGAATGTACTGGCTACACCTGTTTTATATGCATAATCAATTACTTTGTCAGCGATTTTCAAAGAGCACTCTTGGATGGACTGCAATGGTGGGTATAGACTACCGTTTTCTAAATCTTCTTCAGTCACAAGTGCAGCTAATGTCTAAAAAGTTAGARAAAAAAAAGTTAAAGTCACATCCAAATAATGAATTTTTAATGTCATAAAATATGAACCATACTTGAGCAGCAATAATGAAAACTTCTTCGGATATTGTCTTAATTCCAGCACAAATAACTCCAAGTGCTACTCCAGGGAATATATATGAATTGTTTCCTTGGCCTGGGTAGTAAGTTTTTGATTGGTAAGTGACCGGATTGAATGGAGAACCACTGGCGAATATGGCTTTGCCCTAGTAAATATTATACAATTAATACAATTTTAATGAGAATTATAAATATGGCTAAAACTTACACTTGAATAAGTGTACGCTTGCTCTGCAGTACATTCAGCTTTGCTGGTTGGGTTGCTCAAGGCAAAGATGACGGGATGATCATTGTAAGATGATATTTCCTGGATAATTTCTTTTGTAAACACTCCACCAATAGCAGCAGCACCGATGAGTACTGTAGGTTTAACTTTTCTGATGGCCTCAGCAAGTACTTTGACAGGGGCTACAGTTTTGACATACTCCACTTTATGTCCAGTAACTCCACCCTCAGGGCGATCTTTGACTACAAGACCTTTGGAATCAAATAGCCAAATTTTTGATCTTGCTTCTTCCAAAGATGTACCTTCTTTAAGCATGGCCATCACGCATAGTTCAGCAATACCTAATGCTGCCTGTAAAATGTTTTCCATTGATAATACAATATAAATAATTTTTAAAATTAATACTGGTTAAAGTAGGTAGGGCACCCCCCAATATTTTTTTTATGAACTATGAAAATGAATTAGGTACCTCTCCAGCTCCTTGGAATAGAATCACATTGTCTGATAATCTAGTTTTAGTGATACGGAGAGAAGCAAAAAGACCAGCTAATGCCACGGAAGCAGTTCCTTGAATGTCATCATTAAATGTGCAATATTTGTTACGGTATTTGTCCAAAAATCGGAAAGCATTAGAATTTCCAAAGTCTTCAAACTAAAATATATATTTTAATAAAATCTAACAAAACATTTTGGAAAATAAATATAAAACAAACATTACTTGAATTAGACAATTTTGTCCATAACGTTTCACAGCAGCTTGCATAAATTCATCAATGAAATCATCATACTGCTGACCGGTGACACGTTTTTGCCTAGAACCAACATAATAAGGATCGTCCAACAATGCCTGTTGAAATGTATTCATTAAAAGTCAAAAATATAATACAAATCAACATTTAGAGATTTTCGAACAATAAAATTACTTGAGTATTGGTTCCACAGTCGAGTGTGACTGGAAGGCATTGGTGTGGTTTGATACCAGCTAAAGCAGTGTATAAAGCTAATTTTCCAACAGGAATTCCCATTCCGTAGACACCAAGATCACCAAGCCCTAAAATTCTCTCACCATCAGTGACAACGATAGCTCTAACATCTTGTTCAGGCCTATACATTACAGAATATCAATATTATTATATGGTCTTGAGTAGATTTAAATGTAAAATTATTCATATTCTGAGTGATTAGTTTAACAGCATGATATTGTGATATATGATATACAGGTGTCCCGTGAGAATTTACCCATTTCGATATCTCCCGAAATAATGATGATATCGAAATTCTAGTTTTGTAATAAGACTCACAGGGATAAGAACTACAATTATTTCATATTTTAATTTATTTTAATGTTTTGGTAAAAAAGTTAAAAAATCTATTTTTTTATTTAATTATTTCAAAAAAAATTAAAGATAGCCATTTTGTTGAGTTTGTTTTTCTGAAAATATTGTCGTTTCAAAATTT